GGCAACAGTTCTGGAATAAGTGTACAACCTCCCAAGTTGATAACTGGAATAATCAACATTCTCTGGCTATAAAAATATTGAAACTCTACAAAATGACCAGTCATACTAATTTATAGATTCAGCTACTATCCTAATATTGGTCATATACATTTCTATGAATGAAATGACTCTCTAAAGCTGAATGTTTTCTTTCTAACAACAGATGCGTTGACAAAGAACTTCAACTCAATATTAAAATCTTAAAAGAACTAAAAGCTTCACAAACTGCTTAACAAAAAAATTTTTTTAAAAGATACTAAAGAGTTGTTGATTTTTTAAAAGTATATACAGAATATATAGCCTGAGTTTTATTTCAGCTTCTTTGCCTGAAGTACACAATTTTCTTGACTAAATTGACTGGCAAGTATCAAATCAACTGAACACTCAAAGGATAGTATTAAAATTTTACTGAAACTAGATATGTAGAATCCTGAATCCATAAGAACAAATGTAAATCAGACTGATCATTTACTAATTATAGAACCATTAGCAGTTTTCTAAACCTTTGCAGCTTCAGTTTCCTCATCTGTAAATTGTAGATAATTATTGTTTCTACTTTTGGGCTTGTTAAAGGATTAAATATTACAGGGACAGACTTAACTCCTGGCAAAATAAGCCCTCAAAATTTTATGTGACAAAATCTTAGCTGGCAATGCTACATACATCAAGAAGTGATCTCTCCTAATGATATAGCTTTGAGAATAGAAAAGAATATGCCTTAAAACATAATGCAATTTGACAAAATTCAATTCAATAAAACTGACTCCAGATTTACACCAAGGAAAAGAAATTACACACAACAAATATCTAAAATTACTTTTATTACTTAATTTATTTGGGCAAAATATTCTAAGCACATAAAATACCCTTTAAAATTACAATGATGGCCTTAAGAGACATGGAGTTTAAAATTCCTTTTACATTAACCAGAAACACTAAAATTCCACTCTATTTTAATACCAGGAAAATACAACCAAGAAACAGGTAGCATCTCTCTAAAAGAAGAGGAAAATGCATTTTGAACTTAGATAATTCAAAAAGTCACAAATGGTAACAGTGTCAGGACTGAGCAATATCTAGCTTCAAGACCAGAGCTCACACATTTCTTAAAGCAACAAAATCTAAGAAAAACTAGTGTCAGGGAATCCCTTATTCTCCCACTGACTTACTACATGAATCTACACAAATCATATGGTCTCTTAAGTGTCAAGTTTTCATCATTAAACAGAAATCATGCTGGTCACTTCTCTCACAGGGATATCAGAATATTTTTAAATGAACTCAGGTCACCTTGAAAAAGAACAAGTTTTAAAATACAAAGAATTATTATAAATGACAACTGTGAAAGAAGAAAAATGTTTGCTTAAAAAGTCCACCTTAAGATAATTTTTAAAGTCTATATAAGACCATAAATTAATACCAAACCTAACCTAGCATGCTCAGGATATTAAAATAAGCATGTTCAACTGAACAATTAATTGTCAGACTTCTATAAAGGTTCCTAGTCAGTTATTTCCCATTCATTTTTATGGCAAATAAATGTGACAAACAGAATTAAAGTTACATTTCTCTAAAAGGAATTCTTGTTTAACTCAGATCCCCTAACTGCTTCACATAAACTGAAATCTTAATTTAAAATTTTAGAATTTCTTACAAATTATGCTTTTCCTAATAAACACCAGAAAGGAGGACTAAATGAAATTATATAAAACGCAAACTCCTGGTTTTTATTTACTCTTATATTATTAATACATTTTATTTTGAGAAACTAAAAATGCCACAATGGGGTATATCAAACATGTAACACAGATATGTTCAAATATTTCTGACAGTTTGATAGTGGGTTGGTACCAGAAAATTAAATATGAAATTAGTTGAAGAAGCCTTAGAAAATACATTTTTCAAATAAAAAAAGAAAAAGAAAAAGAAAATACGTTTTTCAGTGGGGTAGTCTGGCTCCAAGTAAAGAAAATTTTGAATTGGTACAGCTTTGCTCATATTTTTGAAATTTAATAATGACTACTACGAAGAACCAAGTTTACTGCCATAGTAAAAACTCACTTTTCATCCCCAAAAAGAATCTCACATAGACAGTTTTTCTTTTTTCAAGTAACGTACAACTTTTCCTTAAAAGTGGACAATATTATAATAGATCTCTAGAACAGGTTCAAAAATGTTCTCAAATAACTTTAGTAAACAAATTATTGAATGACTTTAAAAAGGATGCATCCTATACACACTTTTCAAACACTGGAAATTATTTATTTGATGTTCAACTCTGATTCACTTTCATTATTCACTTGAAATCTCTTTTCACATAACAGAAGTTATTGATAACTCTTCAGCGTCAAGACAAACAATAAGCGATATTGTTGACATTTCCTTTAGGTATACTAGAAAATATTTCCCCAAATAATATAACCAGGATTATAAGATTACTGGAGCACTTCTGATCTCTCCTTTCACTGAATTTAAATTTTTAAAAAATGGAAATAGATGATTAGCCACTGGTGAATATTCCAACCAACAGAGGAGAAGCAGAATAGACTTATCCTCTTTAGGGAAACAAATTATTTTCTCCAACTAGGTTACTACTTTAAATTTTACAATATGAATTTTACACAATGTTTTCTCCTTTAAAAATGACGTATTTAATTGGCGTGAACCAAACAAAACATATTTTGAAATTTAAAGAAATTTGAATTGTAGATATAATGAAAGCTACCACACAACCTATATTACTTACAAATTACTTAATATGTAGAATTGGGAAAACAAATTGCGAAGAACTAATTCACGATAACTTAGTTCCAAAGTCTTAAGAAAAAATGAATCAGTCATATAAACCCAATATCTAACGCACTTATTCAAATATCTTCCTAAGACAACCTCTAAAAATAAGTTGCTTCAGTTCATGAAAACCAAGCAAGCAGAACTCCTCTTTTCATTATCTTTAGAAGAAATATGTTTATCCCTTGATATACATCTTAGTATTTTAATTAAATAAAAGTTGTAGAGATAATCACAGGAATATATGAGGGCCTTTGAAACATTTATATGAAGTCCTTATCACCCCCATCACCAAAAAAGCAAACCCTCTGCTTTCTTAAGATGTGTTCTCCCCGTCTGCATTCCCTCCCTGGCATGCCCCCCACTCGCACACCCCCCACCCGCAGTAGGCCTGAGGCCCCGTAGCAAACAGTGTCTAACAGGAGCAGGCAGCACAAAGACAGGAATGGGAGATTAGTGGGAGGGAGGGAGGCCGGGATTGGGGCTCAGCAGGAGCTTCAGGCTTTTTAAAATTCAAACTGCTCCCTGACCAATACAAATCACGGACACGCTACTGACTACTACACGGATTTATAGCATTAAAAACATGCCTAGTACGTGACAGCTATATTAACTTCATTCTTTTAAGCATTTATCCGTACATTTGCAGGAAGTGTGGAACAATTTATTGTAAGCAGGACGCTAAACTAAAAAATAACCTTCACAAAGTAACTCACTCTACAGTGACAATAATTTAATGACACAAAAAATTTGAACCAATGTAACATAAACTAGTAAAACAAGAGATTTCGCTGAGCAGTGCCACTTGATTTTAACCAGAGAAAGTTTTCCTTCAGCGAATATGAAACAAAGTATCAAAATAGTGTAACCCAGGTACATTTTCCTAGCAATTTGCCTGAGGAATTTTTAATTGATGTTTCCCCCTTATACCAACTTATATTACGAACGCCTCCATAAATAAGCTCGAAACACGTAACTTACTCATGAACTAGAACTTGTCAAGTTAGAACTGACATTTTTCTCCAGCATTTACAGATACATTTGACCTATTAAAATGACACCTCTCTCATTACACAGTCAAACATCATGGCACAAACAGCCAATGACAATCCTGGGACCTCAAGAAGAACTGCCCTGACATGAAAGGATGGCACCTTCTACAATTTTTCAACCTCCCAAAGATTTTAAGTGTAACTTAATTTTTTCTTCTTCCTTTTTTTTTTATTCTTAAAAGAAAATTGGTTTTACCCGTATCTCAGCACAATTCTGAGAACACTTAAAATTCTTTTTATGCTCCTACACCTTTTGGTCAGGAAGTACCTGAGTGTTTTATGTACAGTCGTTTAAAACTGCCCTTACATAACGCATACAAATAGAAAGTGGCAGAGTAAACCTGTCAAGTACTTTATACTCGTCTTTGAATAAAAAGTCCATGGGCAACAACACACTGTCAAACAAGATAAAAAGCTCTTGGAGGGGGAGATGTGCAGTGTCTACCATAGTATGGTTTTATGTATTAAATATTCATGCGTACGATTTAATTCTTCAAAAAAGAAAATGAGTCTTTATGAACTTTCCAACGTCCAAACAAGTTTTACAAAGAGAAAGAATTACCTCGGGATCCGTGTCTGAGTATTTACGTTTGTCTCACTAACTGAAACTACTTCCTCCCTTCATGGGGTCACAGGGGGAAGAAGGGGGGTTGTTTGTTTCACTGGGACGTTCCCCACTCCCGGACCGGGAAAGTTGTAAATATGGGGACGGTCAGGGCACATTTGCTGTTAGTTGTATTGTTTCCGCCTCCTCACTAGCTACAGCTCCTCTCCCGGGCGAGGCCTGTCACCGACCAGCAGTCGCTCCGCTCAGCCCGGAGCTCTCCTAATCCCCGAGCTCAAGTAGATTCCGCTGGCCCGCGGCCTGCACTCTCCGCCGGGCCTACGCCTCCCCGGCCGCCCGGCAGGAGCCCAGTCCCCGCCACCGGAGCCGGCCGGGAGAGGGTACAAAACCACCGCCACCCAAGGCGGCTGCCACCAGAGAGGAGCGAACTCTAGACTCGCCCGTGGAAGAGACCTGGGGCCGCTAAGGAAACGGCGGGGAGGGGAGCGAGGAGGAGAGACGCTGAGGACCTGGCGCCGCCGCCGCCGCCGCCGAAATAAAGAGCAGGAATTTACCTGGGCGAATCGGCGTCTGAATCCAAGGGGAGGCCGAGGCCGCTGTGGCGAGAGACTATAATCCGGGCCGGGAGTGGGGGTGGCTACGGCTCCTCTTCCGTCTCCTCAGTGCGGGGAACATGTAGAGCCGGGGGGAGACCAGCCGAGAAGACAAATCGTTGCTTCTTCTTCCTCCTCCTCCTCCTTCTCCCACATAGAAACACTCACAAACACCCGACCAGGGGCCCGAGCTACCGGGGGGGCATCGCCGCGGGCCCGGGAACCAATCCTCCTGTCGGCGGGGGCGTCCCTCCCTGCGGCTTGGTGGTGTCGGGTGAGTCGGTACCGACGGAGGGAGGGGGGGGAGGGTGGGGGGAAGGAGCCCTGTGTGTGTCTCTCTCTCGTTCCGTCTCTCCCTCTCAGAACAAAATGCCGACCGGAAGTGCAGCTGCAGGAATGACTCCCTCCGCCGGCGCCAAACACTAACAACCACCCCCTCTTCCCCACTCCACTTCCGCCACCGCCGCCGCCGCCGCCGCCGCCGCCACTGCCACTGCCACTTGGGCTCGCGTCCTCGGCAGTGCCGCGCCGGGGCCCAGCCGGGCGGCGGCGGCTCTCCTCTAAGCCCTTCTCCTCAGGGCGGCTGTGGATGTTGCCAGTATTGTCGATGCTTCAGAGCTACGTTTGCCCCGCGACACGGGCGGGTCGGCTCTTCTCGGTCTTTATTTTCCCGGAGGCCGATGGGAGCGAGGCCCGAGTTCGGCAGTGGTCGTGAGCGTGGGGGGCACTCAGGCACGGACGTGCTCGCAGGTCGCCGACGGCGGCGGCTGGAGGCCGCGCTGGCTGTCCCAGATCGTCGTTAGCTTAGGGAGCGGAGCTCTGGGCGGCCCCACAGAAGACGCTCGCCATTCGACGGCGATGGTGCCGGTTTTAAATGGTGTCCCTGCAGCCGGGTGGATGGATGGATCGTACGTACTCTTCTCCTTTTGAGGCCAGGATCTTACGCCCTTCTGCGTGTTAATTTCTGCGGAGTAAGAACGCAGCCCTTGGAGGTGAAGACGATTCTCGACTGGACTGAATTGGAATGGTGTTTGTGATACGTTTATTTCTGGAAATGCGCGGTGTCCGCTGCTCTTGATTTTTGTCGGCGGAGGTTTGGGTTCTTCGCTAACAGCAGGGATAAAGGCCTGTAGGCGACGCTGCGCTGGCGCGAAGCTGGGCTGCGGCGGCCCGACCCGGCGCCCGCCTCTAGGTGTGGGTGGAGCCGAGCACGCGGGGAGAACCACCGGCCCCTACTCGGCCACCGGCGACTGCGGGCGACCGGCGGGACTGCAGCCAGCTGATTTCAAACATCGTTTTCCTCTTTAGGTTTGGAACACTGAGGCGCTGGACAAGGCTGGAATACAAAATGTAATATACGTGCAGTACCGTGCCTGTTGTAGTTTTTAAATTGTAAAACAAGAAGTAACTCCGTCGTTCCACAGTTCTCTATTAAATTTGTGTAAATTAAAAGGGGGCTATTCTTCAGGTTAAAAAGTGCAGTAGGTAAGCGGATTTTTACTCAACCGGGACGAAATTCATGTTGTATGAATTGTATTATTTGTGTGTGTACCAGTGGGCTAAAAGTAATTAGGAAAACTTGCTTAGATCATTTCTTTTGCCTCAGGCCACTGAGGGGGCCAAGATCCCGTCACTCCATTGCTCTAGGCCCTGCGACGGCTTCCCGTCTTGAGGGGAATGATCGAAAGCCTTGACTGAACTCCCCGCGCGCCGTGGGGGGTGGGGGCGGGCCTGCCCTGGTATCCTTGCGTGTAGGACTGTGTCCTCGCCGTTCCCTCTGCCTGATTCTTCCCTGAGCGCCCGTAGGGCTTGCTTCTTCACCTTCAGGGTTTTGCTCAAGTGTCACTCTGTGCTTCTGCGGCCACTTTTAAACTGCAGGTTCCCTAGCCCCCTTATCATTTTATCCTTTGGACAATCTACATATTCGTACATGTTTATCTTCTTATCTCTCCTTCCCTAGTGGAATGTAAGCTCTTAAAAGGACAAGAGGTTGTGTTTTTCTGTACTGGTGTTGTGGCCAGCTCCTGGAATGCCACACAGTAAATGCGTAGTATTTGGTTAATGAATGAATGACGATTATAAGGGCCTTGACGCTCCCCTCTTCTGTCTTTGATATGTACTTAAATATATGCTACAGAGAGCTTTATAAAAAATTTAAAGTTTATAACAGAATTCTATAAAAAGAGATTGCTTCTAAACATTGGAAAGACCTCCACAACACCAGAAACCCACAAACAAGGGATAAAGTTTGTTTCTAGGCTTCTGTAAATGGGAATGCCCGAGGACAGTGCATCAAAAATGATCATATCCATACTGGGCCGATTGGCTTTGCTCTCCTGAGTCTCAAACTGCATTCTTCATCTTGCCGTCCTCTGTCTTGCAAAATACATTAAAAGTGTGAGAATTTATTTGGTTGGCTCGGCCCAAATTCAGCACTATTGGAAAAGTTAATTCAGCAAGTATTTATTGGGCACAAATGGGTACCAGGCACAGTGATTCAAAAGGTGTGTGTTTCTGAGGCTAGGACTGCATATAGGACCTTGCATAAAGGACCACATATGGCTACTTTGGTTGCTACTCGATTATGCTGTCAAGCAAAGCAAATGCTAGTGAGATTTATTTTTAGTTTTCTTCTGAAGAAAAGGTTCAGTGAAAGCTGAGGTCAGACTTAGTGTGGATATTTTAATTCATCATTTAGTTTGCTGTTTGCTTACGCTTAGGGTAGCACTAGATTTACTTAATCATGATTTTTGAGTACCATAAAACAAACATGGGAAACTGTATTTCCTAGTTGCCGGAAAAGTAGGCTTTTTAAATTAAAATAAGTAAACATATCGGTAAGCTAGAAACTATGCAATAAGGCTTTGGCTATGGTATTGCGAAGTTTCATAGTTCGCGTATTGAATTTTTGAACAAGAAAAGACAGCCTTGATAGGTATTCTATAACCATTAATACAATTAATGAAACATTGTTTAGTAAATCCAATATTATTTTTCCTATTAATCTTCAGAACAGCTTTAAGTTAATACAGATGGCTCAGAATGTGTTTTTCACTGTTTCAAAATACCAGTATTTTAATTTGCTAATGGAAGCACAATTATTTTCCTGTCTGCTTTCTTAAATGTTACTGGTAAACTAGTAATTTTACATGTCCAGGTAACTGCAGCTGCTACAGTCAGTCTACTGTGGAAATTATTGTGTTATTTAATTAAAATTTTTTTGTTTCTTCCCCTTATTGAGTACTTATTAGTTGTTAATTAGCTTTATGCTAGGCACCTTATACATGGTAGTGAATGAAAACACAATACTGTTTCATTGAGGGTTTTAACTTGCGTATAGTTTATACCATTTTTTTTTCCAGATTATAGAATTAAATAAATTTCCATGCATATCACAGCATTTATCTATTAAATTAAATAGTATTTCGCTTGTGTAAATTTAAGTATCAAAGTTAAGTTCTTAGAATCTGTTAATCTTAGTGTTTTCTTCATTTCATTGCCTTGGTGTTTTGGGTTTTTTGTTTGTTTGTTTTTTTTTGCTTAATATTTTTCCCAATACCATCCATTTGTTTTGCTCTTACATTTTTAAGTCTTCTATGTTCCAAATCAGGTGACTTATGTGCTTGACTTGTCCATTTTAGTTTGGAGGATAGCTCAATAAACCTTTATTCTGACTTTAAATTAGCCTCCTTGCTTTAAGAACTGAGTTGCATGACTCAGTTTTCTTTGCTAGGAATATCCCTGGATAGTCTTATATGTATTCTAGATCAATGAATTGCAAAAGTTGTTATTAAAAATTTTTAATGGATTTCAAGTATAAACTATGTATCAAATGTCATCACTAGGAATTGCTACATCTGAAAAATGATGAATTGTTATTTTTATTGAATATTTATCTTTAAGATAAATGTAATTTGCTATAAAATGATAGTCATGAAAAATTTTAGAAAATCATTTTCTTCTCACTATTTTATGCCTGCCGATTATTCTGTGTTCGTGATAAAACTGTCTCTTCTGGGAATAAATTTGTTAAAGTTAGAAAAAAAACTGGTAGTATATGTATGTTTTATAGATTAGACTCTACCAGAATTATTTCATATTTAGAATAATTAAATTGCTTTTAGGTTGATGGATGACTTAAGAAAACGATGAAGAGTTAATTAAGGTTATTGATTTTTAAGGCAGAGCTACAAAATTATCAAATGACTTAACACTGTAAATATGTTCCTGTTTCAAGTTTTCAAAGTACATACCTTAATCAAATTTGGAAATAGTATTTACGGAGTTTATTCAAGATAGATTATCCATTTTGTTAAAATTATAGAAATGAATAGTTCTTTTCCTATGGATGCCTTTTTTCATCTTGGTCTATTCTGGTCCTTTAAGAACAAGCTTTGTCCTTTCATTAATACTTCTCGCCTATAATCATGAATTTTCTCTAAACTTGTAGATTTTATTATACATGCCATCTATTTATAATCCTATGACACTCCTATATTGTTTATGTTTTTATGTATCTATGCCTTATGTTCCTAAATCAAAGTGACCAGTTCCATGTTATACTAAAAGTTTCACTGTGTAATGCATAGGGAATTACACATAGGGAAGGGCCTCAAAAAATACACTTCTGAAATATTTTAATGTAAAATTATTTAAGATCATAAAGTGTAAAATTATTTAAGATCATAAAGTTTCGTGAAAGCCTAATCTTCCTGGAAACTACACATATTCTGGATGTGAACCAGAGTTAAACTATTCAAGTATTTTAATACTGAACTAATCTGGAAAAACATCAGTTAAAAGACTATTTATGGAGGAAGAATACAAAATCTATTAAAAGTTTAAAACATCTAAAATAGGTATGAAGGGAGGCTTATGGTGCCCATTTTAACAGCTCTCTTGAGTAGGTTAGCTTGTAGTCAAAGCATCTGCTCCAAACCAGTGTTTTAAACTGTGGATTATAGTACCACTATGGTCATGAAATTAATTTATTGTGTTATGACTAGCATTTTTATTTAAAACATGGAATAGAAAATAGAAGAGTACATCACAGATGGTAAAGGTATATGTTTTTAAGTAAACATTTTTTCATGTGTATATGTGCTGGGTTACCTTGTCAAATACATTCCTAATAGCGGGTCACAGGCCAAAAAAAAGTGTTTGTTTTTATTTTTAAAAATCTACAGTTCAGATTTTCCTTAGAAAATGGGGAAAAAAGGGAATGTTAGAAAGATCTGACTGCCCATGAACTACTGAAGGATTTTAGAGGAACACCAGGATATTTTAGAGATCTGATACTGGTTTCAGAAAGGTAATCTTAAGGCAAAGAGTAGGAAATTAAGTATGTTGTTAGTAGAAATGTGAAATATGGTTAAAGTTGTGAAGAGGAATTATTTTTCTAGTGAACCTACATTTGTTGTGTTTAGATCTGTGACTATTATTGATCTGTTGTAGTACATTTTCCAATCTAAAATGTCTGATATAGCACAATAATAAACATGGGGCAAAATACATGTTTGTTTCTATTTCTTCCCACCTTTCTTTCCATCTTAAAACAAATGTTTATTAGTAAGTCAGACCAAAGCAGTTTCTATCTTTCACAGAGTAATTATTCTTAGGAACAGATTATTCCCTGAAAATGATGGCAACTCCTTTCTCTCTCTGAAAAAAAAAAAAAGAGGTTTTTCTCTCTAGCCAAAGTAAATAATAATTTATTAAATAGGTAACTCTCATTCACCATCCAACTCATTCTATATATTTAAATTACTTATAATTGTGTACAGGATTTAAAAGAGGGAAACTTAGGAAGGAAGGAAGGAATTGTGTATAAGAATTTAAAAGGAAGGCATTATATTGTATAAGTAGAATGAAAAGTATCTAACCAGAAAGCAAATAAGGTAAGGATTCTACTATACTGAAATAGTTTAATAAAATTTAAATATTACTCTTTCACTTTATTTGCTATGTGTACATTTCAGTATTATAATGTTGACAAGTCTATTTAAGAGCACATTAGTAAAAATTTCCTTTTTCAGGCATGTGATACCAAGTTCCTTTCCATTATAGATAAGTAAGGCCTAGGTTGGTTAAAACCTTAGCAAAACACAAAATTTGCTAGAGAATCAACATGTTAAGAAGCTCTAACTCTAAGCTTAATCACGCCAAACAAATATTTCACCAATGTAATAATACACACCCTATTGAACTAAGAAAGGAATTGTATTACTAACCAGCAGAGGGAGCCAAGTCAATCATGAAAGGTAGGAGTATAAAGGAACATCATATGACTTCCTGTTTTGAATTTAACTGTATGGCCTCTGTTCGCTTTTTGAGTTTACGAAAAAGACAATCATAAGGAGAGAAAGGCTACCAATGTATATCAAATAACGATGGGGTAACAATTATAACTCAATACTACCTTGCAGGAAATAAATTGTAAGAAAAATTGAACATAGAAATATAAAAGTGAAATGTCTCAGTATAGTAACTTAAGATGGAAAAACCGTGGAAAACAGTACCTTAGAGCCCTGATGAATTGCTATCCAAATCTAACAGTGAATATTTCTTAGTAATTCCATTTTCACTTAAAGTTGAAATTAGGCTGTAAATAGATACATTTTAAGATTATCAAGTTGGTACAAATAAGTAGATTGTACATCAAATTTATGTGCATTTAATCTAAGAAGGGATAAAATTTAATAAAAAATGATGACAGTGAAGTAATAAGGATGTGATTTTTCAGCTTAAAATTAGAGAATAGGATTGTTTCCACTACTGTTTATAAACACAACAAATAAAGTAATATCTGTTTGTGAGAGATGTTTGGAGGAATATAGTAACTAAGTGATTACTGTCAGCTTATTTAATTTTGTCTAAGAACTTCAAAATGCCTGATAGAATAGGTGCATATTGAATGACCCGATATGGTCTATTTATTATTTGAAGTAAAACTATAAGAGCTGAGCGTTAGCTAACTGCATCAAAATAAAGAATGTAAAGACTCAAACATTTTTAGTTAAATAACCAAATGAATTAGCTAGTCTAGCCCCTTACTTGTTGCAAGGTTTGTGGAAACACACCATATATACTTTTACTCATGTGTTTATTCCTTCCAAAAACATACTTCTTAAGCACTTACTATCTCCAAAGGACATGAAACATATCTTCACTGTGAAGTAGACAAACTTCTTAAATTTTATTGAAAGATTTAATTTCCCTGATATGTGAACAATCATATAAATTCAATATGCAACTAGTGATTTCAAGAAAGTGACACTTAGGAGGAAATCATTTATGGGACTAGACTGCCTTTGTAGGACTAACAAATTAGGCACAAGATTAGATATTAAGAGTTATACAACTGGAGGCTACTAGATTCTGACCCTAAACTGCTCCTAAGACCAGTGCTTGAGATACTCTGCACTTGATGGATCAGTGCTGGCACCACCAAGATCAATAAGCTAGTTCATCAGATCTTGTAGCCCCCGCCCAGGAACTGATTCAGAGCAAGAGGACAGCTTCAATTCCCTATGATTTCATCTGCAACCCAACCAATCAGCACTCTCAATTCACTTGCCTTCCCTAAAAACTGATCCCCAAATGCTCGAGGAGACTGATTTGAGTTTGGTGTCCAGCCAAAAAAAAGCAAATTATTCAATTTTGAGTACTAGAAAGTAGACTGTAAACTTCTTTTATAATGCTATATTATACTGGCATTATTTTATATATTGGCATCTGGTATTAAGTCAGTTAATCATAGCAATGATATCCAAGATGTACAACTCAACAGTCCTAGAGACAGTTTAAAACCAAAAAAAGAAAAACCTCAATGTAGCCAGTATTACTACGTGTAATTATTTGTTTCCTTTACACAGGAGTTGTGGTGTATATGGGCTATGTGAATTTCCTAAACAGCCTAATCTTTTAAATGTTTCTACTCATGAAAAATAGCTATTATGAACTTTTAAAAATTAAATTAATAAAGTGGCAATAGGTTTACCATGAACCTTATTGATAAGCATAATAATGGGTTAACTCATGTCAAAGTCCAATAAAAACTATTTACTATGTCACCAAAGTCAACATTTTAGAATCTAAGATGTAGTATAGTTATTTCTGTTTTATCTAGTTTTCATTCAATAATCTCAGATTCTGACTAACAACTCAAAGACCAAAGTCTGGTGAGAAAATAACTTGAATCTTATTCCAAAGTTAGGAATGGTGACAGATTAGGAAAAGCATCAAAAAAGTGACTTCAGTAAAGTTCTCTTTTCCTAAAAAGTTAAATATAAAAGTTTAGTCAGGAATTTGTACCCACACGTGAATACTGCTTTTAACATTTTTCTTTGGACATTTGAAATATTTTATTTTCTCCTTTAAAAAAAGCACCAAAACCCAAATTCATTTAATATAATGTTTCTGATTTATCAGTTTCTTTCCATCTTACACTGTCAAATTCTGTACTGCTTCTAAAGCACCTACAATTAACTCTACAAAAACTGTACAATTAACACCCAGCATTTCCTTCTTCCTAATTCTAATATCACCATTCATCAGCTTTCTCCAATAGAGTCAGATGATTCCTTATAATCATATCTAGGCAAATGTAACTTTCACTTGATGTATGGGAAAATAGCTTACATTACGAATTTAGAAGAGCTATAGTAGTACCTGACAATACTTTAGAGATGGAAAAGTATTTTTAATTTAAAGAACATACTGGACATCTTTCAGAATTTCTGTAAAAATTTTTGACTGTCCATTTTGGCTAGAAGCTTAGAATGATCATGCTTAAATTTTGTGTTTACATTAAATCTTTTGGATTTTCATTCTGTACACAATATTGCTATAAAACATCATAGTTGTGGAATCTGGCTTTTTAAGAAATGCTCACCAGAAAACTGGTTTGAAAACTATTCTGACTACAATGTAGCTATTATATTCACTGATAAGAGTTTAGTATGCCTCTGAATATAAGTCTCTAATTCACTATATTTTTTGGAATATTAGTATTCTAAGAGTATCAGAATATGAGCTTAAAGAAATTTTGAATTTGCATATCCAAATTGACAAATTATATTCGTAGTTGGAACGTGGTGGCTCACGCCTATAATTTTAGCACTTTGGAAGGCCGAGGTGGGCGGATTACTTGCGGTCACAAGTTTGAGACCAGGTTGGGCAACAAGGTGAAACCCCATCTCTACGAAAAATACAAAAATTAGCCAGGTGTGGTGGTGCACACCTGTAATCCCAGCTACTCAGGAGGCTGAGGAACAAGAATTGCTTGAACCCAGGAGGCAGATATTACCCCCACATTCAACAAATAAATATTAAAGAGCTTTACATACAGGATAATATGATAAAATTTGCATTTTAGAATAACTCTACAATTAACAATAAAAGGAAGTACCTGTAATATTACCCCACAAAAGGAATAATACTTAACATGTAGTGAACTTGGTAATTTCATACAATTTAGAAATATGTATTGAGCTGTAAAAATGTTCATGTTCATGACATGATACTTTCTCATCTGGACTCTTGAGGTGGCTATATATGGCTTTTGTAATTTCAATTAAAACAGAAGCTTGGGTAACTGAATGAAGGAAGGAATGTAAGAGAGGCTGGAGAAAGGTGAATCAATGAGAAAGTTAATGCCACCAGTCAAGTGATTTATGTTTTAGCAGCAAATTCTCCTTAACAATAATACTTTCAATTTAATAATATTTTCAACCTACATCTAGAAAGCTTACAGCAAACTTTCCAAGTATTTTGTCTGTTCTAGCCTCAAGGTGCAACTCCAATGCAATCCGTGTTTGCTCACCATTCTTGCTGTTTCACTTTCATCACTCCTTCTTAACCAGTTTCTCTTACTACCAACCTTCTCATAATAACTATCCACTCACCATTGGTTCCCACCATCCCCACACATTTTGGTTCCTTTAAATTAAGGGTAATATAGTCTTAATTGTTCATGTCACCTAGTAGTAAGACAAAAACAAGCATGACAGGGTGGAAGTGAAGATTATGCCATATTTCAGAGGTTTGCATGTTTTCCAGTAGTGAATCACAACTATAAGAAATCCATATGTATGTGGGCCACATACATGTTAAATTATAACAATAGTAGAATTTTAACCTATTAGCTATTCAAAGGTGTTTTGTTTTTGGCTGAGGACAGTGGCTCATGCCTGTAATCCCAGCAGTTTGGGAGGCTGAGGTGGGAGGACTGCTTGAGTCCAGCCTGGGCAACATAGTGAGACCCCCATCTCTAAAAACCAATTTTTTAAAAATTGGCCAGGTGTGGTGGTGTGCACCTGTCATCCCAGCTACTTGGGAGGCTAAAGTGGGAGAATCGCTTGAGCCCAGGAGGTAGAGGTTGCAGTCAGTCATGATGGCACCACTGCACTCCAGCCTGGGTGACAGAGTGAGAGCCTGTCTCAACAACCAGAAAAAAGCATTTAGTTTTACAGTATAACAAAGCAGTGTCACCTTAGTTAAATGAGCTTTATTTATAAAAAAGCATAAAATTATGGGCCAAGTACTAGCCTTCAAGTAATTTTGAAGTCAGCAAGAATACTGATATATAACAGATCAAACGTGGTTCAAGAACCAAAGGCTATTGTTCAACAAATATTGAGACAACTGGGTAGCCACATGCAAAA